AACAACAGAAATAAAATTTTAAAATATAATAATAATAATAATGATGATTGTAGTGAAAAGGAAAACAACAAAAAGAGGAAGAAACCCAGGCAAAAAACAAGTTATGCAACCGCTCACCACACACAGACTGATGCCCAGCCAGTCCCCAAGTAGCGATTGCTGCCCCCCAGCCAACTCCCCCCAGTTTATATACTGAGCATGACGTCATATGGTATGGAATAGCCCTTTGGGCAGTTTGGGTCAGCTGTCCTGACTGTGCCCCCTCCCAGCTTCTTGTGCACCTGGCAGAGCATGGGAAGCTGAAAAGTCCTTGACTAGTGTAAACACTACTTAAAAACAACTAAAGCGTCAGTGTGTTATCAGCATTATTCTCATACTAAATCCAAAATACAGCACTGTGCCAGCTACTAGGAAGAAAATTAACTCTACCCCAGCTGAAATCAGGACACGGCAGAAAAATGGAAATAAACTAGTGAGGTTAGGAAACGGCAGTACAGGGTAACCTTACAGATGAGACAACACGCAGTGCAATTACGTATTCAAAGGCCATAGCTGGAGTCATTCACTCAGAAAACATATATTTGATCTATAAACATCCGTGCTGGAGATGACTTGATTCTCCTTTCTGATTTCATTTTAATATTCTAAGACCTTGTGCAATGTAGTTTTCTGTCGCAGCAGGCTGTTCTGTTTGAATGATTTTTCCTATTATACTGCAGAATATAACACTCTACATCATTTCCAAAACATTACTGAAGGAGTGTGAAGCTCTACTGTAAACAGAAGTGAATCAAAAGGATTAATGTTTGAAGCTTGAATTACTCTAACATTTGGAACAAATAACTTCCTTCAGGAAGTGAGCAAAATCAAACAGATGTGTCTGGCCAGAAACATTATCACATGAAGAAAGAGAAAAAGACTTATTTGTTTGATTTTTGTACAATGCAATGCTATTGAGGTGTGTGGGAGGGAAATTAATTGGGAGCGACACAGCTTTAGCTGGACAATAGGTGCTGATCTGTGAAAGGGAAGATGCCGGGTTACTTTTCTATAACTTTTCAAGTATAGACAGTGCTAAGCAGTGTGATTTTTAATAGCCCAGCCTGTGCGCTTGCCTGAATGCTATCTTTATGTAAGGTTTTCTGCTATGAATGAAATACTCACCTGCTTTCTAAACATCACGTACATCTACAGGTCCCACTCTGGTCATTACAGAATACTGCTGCTATGGTGATCTTTTAAATTTTCTGAGACGGAAACGAGATTCATTTATTTGTCCAAAACATGAAGAACATGCAGAAACAGCAGTTTACGAGAACCTTTTGCATCAGGCAGATCCTGCGGCGTAAGTATGACTTGCTGAATGTACTTGTGTTTTTACAAGATGGGGAAGGAGGAGATATCAAAGTTTATTCGTAATAAGAAATGTGGAGAAACCTTTCATGCAGCAGGCTTTGAAGATTCTTTGCTGTGCAAGGAAACAATTTAATTAAAGAGACGATTTGTTCAGTGGGTGGTTTATTCTAACAGAGCGCGATTGATTGTATACACTCTCTGTTTTACTTCTTTATCGAATTTCCTGTAGTTATTTCATGCAACTCCTTGGCTCTAATCTTCGTATGTATTTGTATTTATCGTTCCTGTTAAACATTGGCAGTGCTCATTTAGCAGCTTGAATGACAATTCCCCCAGTGTTGGGGTGTTAATACTCTGAGCTCTCCTAAGCTCCTGCCTTCAGAAATGACTTCTTACAAAATCAAACCAGTCCCTTACAGTATCAGAGGCAAGCTGCCACTGGTAGCTCGCTAGATTTTGTGATGACACGACCCGTGTCACGATTCTGAGATTGCTCTTGTACTTTGGCTTTTTTCAGTTACTTCATCTGTATATTTTTAACTGCTCTGTTTTAGATACCAGCCCAGAGCTCTTTCCAAGTTCGTTTCCAAGCAGATTTCCTGCTCGCTCCTTCACTTCGCAAAGTGAGGGAGACATAACTTACCAAACCTAGGGGCTGTTATGATACCTGTCCATTTTTATTTTTAGTCTGTTTATTGCCCCAGTGGACCCATTACTTTGTGTTGGCAGACACAAAAGAACCAGGCAGACCCTTAGGAGGTGGTAAAGTCCTTTGTCCCAGGCAAGACGTAGTAGCGGTGAAGCTGTTTGTGCTGTGGCAATACATGGATTGTGTGATGCCCCAGAGAGGTTGGGACCACTGAGGTGATGAACACAAATCTGTGATTTGCCATGGGAGGTGTGTCCTCTTTTCAGTGCAGGAATCTCACTGCTTGAGCTCATTTTGTAAATTGAGGTATTAACAGCAGAGTATTTACCAAAGTCTCATATTAGTATTTACTGTAAAGTTGCAGCTGCTAAATGCATCAGATATGTTTGTGGTGGTGACTGAAGCTACTGGTGAACTCATTACTCCTTTCCATGTTAGCTCGGTGGCTGCATTTATTGTTCATAAACTAAACAGATATTTCAGGCTGAGGAGGAGCTATGTATGTGAGTTCTAATGGCAATGAAGTGAAAAATGCCAAAGTACATCCATCATTTCTAAAGGTGCCTAACTGTATATTTATAAACCATATAGTATGAAAATCTGTACATTTGAATTATATATAGCAATAAGAAAACTTAAACTTAAAAAATGTAGCAGATGGCTGTCCCAAGCCTTGGCTGGTTCTTCAAAATATATATGAATCCCCTTGGGAACTTCGGAATCTCTAAGTTTAACATTTTTTACCATTTTGTCTTCTGCATTTCAATTGTCACTTGAGTTGCTGAAATATTCTGGTACAAGTTGGCCTAAGCAGAAGAAGGAAGCACTAGCAGATCCTGTGAAACATCTGGATGTTAATTAATAGAGAGTGCAGTCTGTATAAACAGCACACGTGTGAAGCGTTTTGTTTACTCACCTGAGGCAAACTTTGAGATCTATCATTAGCTGTACTGACAAACCTGTTTCTGTACAGGCCTTTCCTCATCTGTTTTACACACCCATGAGTTTCCAATCTACTGATCATTTGTAAAGCATTATATTTGGAAGGTTGGCGTAACCTTGGCTTTTTGTTTGGACAGCTTTTGAGACCTTTTTCACTAAACTATGTTTCATTTCATCTGCTGCCTCAACAGTGATGTTGCCAGTGAGTACATGGACATGAAACCAGGAGTGTCATATGCAGTTCCACCAAAAGCTGATAAAAAACGACCAGTGAAGTCTGGTGAGTACAGTGACAAGGAATTCTGTTTGCTGGTGGAAGTGCAGAGAGAGCGGCTTCATAGATTTTTTTCAGTTTTATCATACTTTTCTCTCATGGATGGGGACAACTACCCTTAACTGGTTTAGTGGTGGACTTGGTAATGTTAGGTTAATGGTTGGACTGGATGATCTTAAAGGTCTTTTCCAACCTAAACAATTCTATGATTCTAATTAAAACTCATTAATTGATATGAGAAGGCTTGAGAAAGAACAATATGCTAAATTACAGTGTCTTGTATTTCTCTGGACTTAAATGGAGTATCAGGATTATGTTTTGCTTTTTGGCGATGGGCTAGTTACGTGACTCTAGTCTGGTACTTATTCAGATCACTGTTTTGTTTAACATTAAGACAACTGTGTTTCTAAATTATTACACTTGCTCCATTCAAAAGCTGTTGTTGTCTATATTGTGTAGGAACCTACACCGATCAGGATGTTACCCTTTCTATGTTGGAAGATGATGAACTTGCTCTAGATGTCGAAGATCTACTAAGCTTTTCTTACCAGGTGGCAAAGGGCATGAGCTTCCTTGCCTCCAAAAATGTAAGTTAAGAATTTGTCAGAGCTGGACATAATCAGTAGATTTCTGATTTCCTTTAGCATAACTTTCAGTGTTTTAATGTGATCCACACATTTAAATGCTGAATATTTCTCTGTTCTTTTCAACAAGCAATGCAAACTTATATGCTCCTTCTCGTATCTGAAGCTTTGGCTAATGTTGGAGTTCTGTACTGTGCTCATTGGCCAAAAGTGGTGTCTTACATCCCATAAAACACAATTTAGGGTGCTCAGTAGTCAACATGAAGCAGTGCTATTGCATATCCGCAGTTCAGGTTAGTAGAATCAGTAGCATTGCTCATGAACAGAAACTAGTCATAGAAATGTCAAGAGAAGAGACAGAGAAGACGAATTGCAGCAAAGTATGTTTGCTGCACCCCAAGGCTCCACTGATTAACAATGTCATGTGTTGGAAGATGGCCGGTACAACTGAACCCTGCCTGGCTTGGGTGGTGCCTCTTACGGGTTTGATCTTCAGCCCCTCCTTTGTTTCCTGGAGCACACAGGTAGTTTCATGAGAACTCCTGATGGCTTTGGAGGCAATGAAACCCATAGGAACCCCAAGGAGTTATTAATGGGAGAAACCCAAGTGTGGACGCTTTAAAAAACAATTACATCTCAAGAGTTTAAGAGTCATTCTCTGTGGCACTGCTGGAGAGTTTACAAACTAAAGAACAGTATGAAGACAGCTGCAAAGCTATCTGTTTGCATGAGTTTTAAACAATGCTACACTTGCTACTTGTGTCATGCAGAATATGGACTTAAACAGGGCAGCTATCACATCGTGTGCTTTTGTTTTTTTAGCAGTATGGCTTAATTCACAGGATATGTCTTGGCGTTTCATCTTCTGGAAAGATAAAATCAGCCTGGAGTCCCACAAAGAATCTTTGTTGGCTACCCTGAGCTTAACAGACATTTATCTGGGTTTTGTAGGAGAGGTATTGCGTAACAGAAAGGGATTTATAAAGAACAGAAGTCTTGAGCACAGCATAATTATGATCTTCCTATGTTTTTTCTTACATTTTATTGGAAAAATGCCATTTAACATGTAAACATTGTAACTAATATAGACACAGGATAGTACAGGTGCACCTTGGATAAAGTGCAAAACCAAACTTAGGCAATTTAAGGAAAATAAGGTAGTCCTGGGATCTTGTATTAGTAGTGGGAAATGTGGCTCTAATTCTGCTCCAAAGGTAGTCCACATTAAAACTTGCTCTTGCACTTGATTTTTTTCCTCCGCTGTTCCTCCTTCCAAACCCTTTAGTTTATTTTTCATCCATCAACAGCTTCAAAACAGGCCTGACGGGCAAACACATTATATTCCAGATTTTAATGGTTTTCACCAGACTCCTGCATCCTTCACTATTCAGGACATCCAGTGCTTAGCTCACGTATTCTTTATTTCTTCTTATTTTCCTATAGAATAGCCCTAGGATTCACTATGCATCATACCCAGTGACTGTTTTCTTTATAGTCTTTCCAGTGATGCAAACAGACACTGTGGCATTGAGTAGCAAAGGCAGTAATGAGTGTAACACCACCTCACTGTGAGATTCAGAAGTAACGTGCAGTAACGCTTTTGCAGCACAGAATTAACTGCTTTATCACAGAATTAAGTTGCACTGCACTAACACATTACTGTGCTTGGTCCTTTTCTGTTGTTGTGTACATACACACTCTTAGCTCCAGCTAGTAAATGCAGAGTAGTGTGGGCTGATGCATAAGATGCTTCAGATTGCATCTGCATGGGTCCACGCAGACCAGCAGTGCAGAGTACCCAGCTGCTCTTCTGCAGCTTGTTTGTGTATCAAGGCTCAGAGGCATAAAAGTGCCTCTGTGCAGGAGTTGGGATGGGAGCCTGTCCTGGGGCGATAATTTCCTTATTAAGTACACAGTGCCTTAATCACAAGACACGGCTTCCTCCAGTGGACAAAGTCTTTATTCAGTGCAAACTGCACTGATTCTGGAGGAGCAAGGCAGAGACATGCTGGATGCTTGGCCATTCCTTCACTTTACTGCTTCAGTGCAGTAATTTTCATATGCAAAGTGGAGAATATGTTGGATTGGGAGGTGAAGGAGAGTCCCCTGAGACAGTAATTGTCATTAAAAATAGTTCCTCATGTAAGCATACAAAAGGGACAGAGATTAAGTTGCTTATGCAACCTGCAGTTATAATGTTCTGAGTTTGATTTGCATAATTCTTGATATTTTAAGTCATTTTTTTGTAGGGAACTCATAAAGTTTTGTATTTCAAAGAAAATAATGAAGAGAAAAATGGAACCATCTTCGGCTATTTTTTGGAAAGCTGTGGCCTGCCTACTATATACCGTCAGTAAAGTGGGAGCTTAACGCTCTCCTTTCCAGGTGAAAAAAGTGATCATTTTGTTAGAGACCTACCTCCATTCTTTAATAAATGCACATGGGCTCCACAGTTGTATGCAAAGAAAATGTGACTGCTGGGAAACTCAGGCACACTTCTGGAGCTGCAGTTACAAATGCATGCACACTTCTCAAGTGAAAACTGGAGTATAAGCTATCTAGGTCACCAAACACATGACTAATCATTGAAAGATACTGGCATGTGAAAATTTCCAGTATTTTCAAATACTTAGGCTTGCTTATAAAACTCTCCTAGGTACTTAATAATTCAAGTCTTCCAGAGGAGTATTTTTGAAATGGGATTCAGTTTCCTGACTTGAAGTTGTTACCATAACTTTCCCTATTTTCAGCTTTTCAGCACTTTCCCCTCAACTACAATAGCTACTTAATAAACGGTTGGAATTATTTTAGAAAGAAACCACATTTTCCCCTTATGTGTCCTGTGTTAGGAAACAAGCCAGTGATTTTTTGTTAACAAGTCAGAGAAAAAGTACATTAAACTTCAGCTGCAAATGTGAAACACTAGAAAATTCAGTGACTGCAAGTGGTCTTTTCTAAAGTAAATGCATAGACAACCTTAACCATGTGGATCAATGTCATGATAGTAAAGATAGTACACTAGAATGTTTAATCATCCAAGTAAGCTTATTAACATTATCATTATGGCTTCATTATGACTTTCAGCTTGCCATAAAATGCATAATGCAGTAAGATATATAGCTAAGTAAACATGTAACTAAGCAACAGCCTGTTAAGGATATTATAAAATAGCATTGTTTGCTTGTCTGTTTGTTGTTCAGTGCATTCATAGGGATCTGGCTGCAAGAAACATTCTTCTAACTCATGGTCGGATAACAAAAATCTGTGACTTTGGCCTGGCAAGAGATATAAGGAATGACTCAAATTATGTGGTCAAAGGAAACGTAAGTATATGTGATACTTCATCCACCTGTTTTAAGTTAGGAGGGTTCCTGTTGTCTTGACTTGCAAAGAAGAGTCTTTCTTAGGCAGAAATCTGTATTTCCCAATTCTGGTATGTATCTGTGCTGGTCTGGAACATTAGAAGGGGCAATTCCTGGCATAGATGTGTGTACTGACAAAACCCTTCGTATATGCATGTGTTATACTGGAAAAAATGTGCTGGTGTCTGAATGTATGTTGTAGTGGAGGAGATGTTTTTGCTGCCCCAATATAAAGCCCAGTCTTTCTGTTATATCTGAATGTACTAAAAGTTACAGCTCTGTGAGTAATTGCAAGTTTTGCCATTGGAATATTCTGGCAGCCCAATCCTAAATATAATTATTTTGAAACTTTTTCTCTGGGCATTGCTATATTTGTCCATTACTGAAATAGTTTCTTTTAAAAATACCTGAAGAGTCAGGGGTTTGCATCCTGTTCTTTGCTCTAAAGCATCACTCAGACAACAGAACTGGATTCTGAAGTGTGAGTTTATTGATTAGGGCATAGTGGGAGGCAAAAAAGTCTTGGTTTTATCTGATGCCATATACAGATTTTAACTTCGTATGTGTAACATACAACTTTAACTTGCAGCTATAATTCAAACCCTGTAACAGGGTTGGAACCAGACACTATATTTTGATGAGAAAAGTTTAAAACCTCCTATGTAGAAGAGTACCGATTACACTGGTATGTACTAGACCTCTGCAGGTGTACAAAGAAACTTTGAAGTGGTGCAGATTACCTTGGCAGTACTCGAAGTCCCCTTTAAAGTGCTAGTGCAGTAAAAGGAGCCCCACTACAAAAGAAAATTGAGCCTGCCTGTAGTTAAGCTGGAGAAGTGTGCTACAGACTATAGGTATTTTTCATCTCAAACTGATTTGTGCGACCTGGATTAATGTTGTAAGTCTGCATCAGATGCATGCAGCCATCCACTGCCTTCAGAGTACACGTTTTCACTTGCACCATTTTTCAAAGGCGAGAAGATCCACGTTCAACAAGGCAGCCCTCCTCCCCAGCCCTGCTGAGTGCTCCATGGTCAGAGGCTGGTCGTTAGTTAGGGACTTGACAACACACAAATGGAAGGTTGCCCATCCAGTCTTTGGGCAAGCTGACAAAGAGAGAATATCCCACACCTGAGCATCTCTCACCGAAGTGTTTTGCCATGCTTGGTTAACCTCAGTCAGTCCATGGCACCTCAGGTATCTGAGATATCTCTGCTGCTTTGCTTCACCCAGCAGTCTCTGATGTCCCAGGTACCTACAGCATCCCTATTTTAGGCTGTGGGAGAGAAGGATTTATTGGTTGTCTTCAAAAACAATGTTGGTACCAGCCAGTGGGTGCCTAGAAGTTGAGGTCAGGGAACAACAAGAGCAGAAATTCTTTAGGAATGGCTGTCCTGGCAAAATACTGAGTGGCATTTAGTGTAAGAAAGCTGCTTTCAGGCTCAGGGTCAGGTCAGGAGCTGTTTGATCAGTCAAGGCTCCTGGGAGTGGGCAGTGCAGACCAGCAGCTTAGGAGGGAAGTGGGCAGTAAGTAATGAAGTTCTACATGTCTAGGCTACCCTTTAATTTTCCTGAGTTCCCTGACAATAGGATTTCACGTAGCCTGAAAGGGTCAGAGGAGGATAGGCTGCAGCTGCCTGGGGAGGAGAGAGGAAGCAGTGGCTGCAGGAGGTGTCTGGTAGCATCTGGCCTGATCTTAAAGCAATCAGGAGCGCTGGGGCATTCCTAGCCATGGACACTGCTGGGAGGCAGTGCTGCTGACAGCAGCTGGGGGCTTGGCCAGGAAGAGTGTTTGCTGTCTGCGTTGTTCAGGAAATAGACAACTCCGGTTGCCTCTCTGGTGAGCCAGCCCATGGCAAATACTGCCTTTCCTCCACCTCATTTCTTTTCCTTTCCATTTACTTCCTTTTCTGTTGGGTCTCCTTTCTTACAAGACATCAAGGCTCTTCTCTATAGTATGGTTGAAATAGATCTTCGGACGCGTCGTTTCAAGAGCGCTTGAAAGGAAGAGGTCTAGTTTCTCCCACAGCAGGACAAGTGCTTAGGACAGAAGCCTGACTGGCTCCTACAGTTAGACAAGGAACGGGCAAAGCAGGGAGAGGAAACAAATCCAAAGGCTTTCTGTGCCCTTTCCTCTGCTCCAGTTAGCATTCCCCATGCAAACTTATGAAAAATGTCAATATATATTTCTTTCATGTGAATTTTAATTTTTTTTTCTGATACACTGAGGAGCTGAAGCAGATATCTTGACTGTTGATTAAAGCCTTGAGGCATCTTGACTATGTGACTCTCATCTGTGTGCCTATGGTAGCCAGTCCACGGAAGCAGACCGCATGTTTGCATAAGGAACCATGCCATGGTCATATATATTATTTTGCTCTGACTTCCTGCCATTCCTTGTAAACAAGACAGAAGGAATCACACAGTATATAGAAAATCAGACTACAAGGAACTGCATGAGTTTGGTAGATCCACAGAAAGATGGATCAAGAACCATGCAGCACTTGGAGACTCGAAGATGCTGCGGTTTCTATTTTTGGTTGGATACTTCTATTTCTTGATTTAATGAGTATTTAAAGCACTTAAGAAGTAAAAAAGGTTAATTTTATCTTGTAAATTTTGTATGTCTTATGTCCATTGTCTTAATTTATTCCCTTTTCCATGGAAAGGCTCGTCTTCCTGTGAAGTGGATGGCACCTGAAAGTATTTTCAATTGCGTCTACACCTTTGAGAGTGATGTCTGGTCTTACGGGATTTTGCTTTGGGAGCTCTTTTCTTTAGGTAAGCTCCTTCAACCTCTGTACTTCAGGGGATTTCTGCTTCCTCTTGGTTTTACTGCAGATGCAGTAGAGATTCTCATGTGCTCTCTCAACAGGAAGCAGCCCATATCCAGGGATGCCCGTGGACTCCAAGTTCTATAAAATGATCAAGGAGGGATACCGGATGTTCAGCCCTGAGTGTGCACCACCTGAAATGTAAGCGAGCAACCAGCACCTCTAATCACCAAACATTAGCAATGATGCAAAGGAAGGGAAGCTTCCATTTTTGCAATAAGGCTCATTGCGCTGCCCTGTTGTCTTTTTTTTTTTTTTTAAGTTCTTTTCACGTTTTAAATAATTCATGTACTCTAACTAGCGGAATACATGCCTGTGTTGTTACAAGCAACGAAATACACTCATGCCTTGTACCATCTGATTACTTTGTCATGGCATCTGCTCCCTGTCAATAAATTATTGACAGATCACAGAACATAATTAAACATTTTTAATTCAGATAGAGCAGTCAGTGAGATGTATCACCAGACTGTACAGCATCTGCATTTGTGCTACTTCCTGACAGCAAGAGGACTGGCTACTGATCTTCTTTATGAGCCATCCCTAATTCACTGTTTTGTAAATGGATTGGCACTTAGCAAGCTGTCAAAGAAAACTGTGTCCAGAGACTCCCATTAGTATTGAGTCCTTTGTTGGACTGTGCCAAGCACAGGTGTTGGCAGCACTATTTCTATTCTTAAAAGTCATTTAAATAAGGTAAACTGTGGGACTGGGCCACACTTTTCTTTCAAATAGTAACAGAGGTGAGATAAGAGCTCTAAGGATTTCCTCATGAACAGTACTTAATTTCAGTGTCTTTGCAGGTATGACATAATGAAGAGTTGCTGGGATGCTGATCCTTTACAGAGACCCACATTTAAACAAATCGTACAGCTGATAGAGCAGCAGCTTTCAGATAATGCCCCCCGGGTAAGTTATGGATCGTCACGTTTTTTGAGTCAAAGCAGTTTCAAGCAAGATGTTAGAATAGAGCTGTGAGGAGCAAAAAGCCCGGGTGCTTCATTAATTTTCCGGTATTATTTATGTAGCTTTGCACTGTCAGTTTGGGTGGTAGGAATGATGTCTGGGCTACTCACTTCTGTTTAATTGTGTCATTAGACAGTAGCTGTCTAAGTCCATACCCAAAATGTATCAGCTGGAGAAGACTCCTTGCATGGTTGATGTTTCTCACTCAAAATAGACCTGGCACATCAATTTTGATGTTACAAAATGCAGTGGTACTGCATAAATTCATCTTATGTTAAACTATGAAAAAATTTATTAATCTGGGAAACATCTCAGAAGTGAAGTATATTTAGCTTTTATTAGAAAATCTTTCTGGACATATGCATTGAGCTTTCAGTGTTCTTCTGCCTTTTCTGACTTGCTTCCCCTAGCTTTATTTATATAACCTTGGAGGTATGTCGTGACAAACTGTATACACTGCTTTTTCGACCATTCCCTAGTAAAAGGTTTTTCTGAGAGGGTAATTGGACAAAACAGTCCAAAGAAAAACTGGAGGCACATCAGAAACTTGAATTTTCTCTTGCAATAACATTGTGTTACTGGGGTTTAAAAAAGTAAGTTTAAAAACTGGTTTAAAAATAAAGCTTTCTTTTACCTTCTGGATGCCTTGTTTGGGCACGGCATACATGGCTTCCTGACAATTTGAGAAAAGAGGAAACTGAAAGCTGCTGGTGTTCAATTGCATCCTGTAGCGTATTTTTGGCAGGTGCAGGCATTACTAAAACAAAAGCAAGAATGCGAAGGAAATATTAGTGAGGTTTCTGGGGGAGTTAGTAATAACCTGTGTTTTTTTTCAAGCTCAGTTGAAATTTGGCATGTAATTGGAAACTGCGGTGGTGTTAATGACTGAGATTGAGGTTCTCGACTCTTTAAAAGAGCAGTTAAGCCCAAGACCTTTTGAAACTCTCTTTGGATTTGCGAAGAAACACCTGAGCTGGAACCCTTCCACGGCAGTATGTAGCACACAGTGGGAAAAGGCTAGGAAAGGAGAGCTCTCCCAAGTATGCATGAAGGGAGCGGTCTACAGAGTATTGACACTGGTCTTTGGCTTCTGCAGGTTTATGCAAACTTCTCAACTCCACCTTCCAGTCAAGGAAACGCTCCAGATCACTCGGTGAGGATTAACTCGGTGGGTAGCAGTGCTTCATCTACTCAGCCTCTCCTGGTACATGAAGATGTTTGAGTGGCATCTGGAAGAAGAGAGGCCCAGATATATTAGCTGTTTGTATTGTGCAGGGGGTGAGAGAGGGACGGCTTCAATGATTTCTCTTACTTTTACTCACTACTACCACTGTGTAGCTGAAATGTTGTTGTAATACTGTCCTTTACCACACACTGTTACACATAAACTTAATCTGCTGAGCACAGTTACAGGCATCATTGCAATGTTAACTGAAGCTGTATATATTTTGCTATATTGTGTGTATTTGCAGTAGAGAGCCTGATCTGAAGAAAAAAAAACAACCAACAAAAGAAATCCTGAGCCAGGGTGTGGAATGAGATGACTGCAGATCAGACCAAATCTGTGGTGATCCTTCTCTGGATCCGTGCCTGGAAGGCATACAGTCGTTTTCTAGTTAATCTTGTTTTGCTGAATTTAAGAAATAAACGAATATGAAGCTAATGGCTTTTGCAGACCCCTTTCCACGTCCAGCCAAGCCTGAGAAGCTTTGCTAAGCAGGTATTGTAGGTTGGAGGCCAGCGAGGGTGCTGTATGTACCTAGGCAAGAGAGGTGAAGGAACCAAGCCCCTTCCAAAGTTGGTCTGCACAGCAGCAAACCCTCCCAGGAGCTCTGGGGTTTGAACCATAGGAGGGAGAAGAGCGTGGCTCTTCATCTTTATTTCCCACCCGCACTGTCAGCCTTGCAGACCGGTCGCGAGGTTTCTGTGGGTATATGCACTACTTCCCACTGGCCTGTTCCCCGCCAGCGACAGAGCTGCCCATTGCTGGGTCTCGCCCCACCACAGAGCCTGGACTTCTCCCGCGCACCCCTGCCTCAGGAGCCTGAGGGCTTTGATGCTTGTTTTGCTAATAGTTACGTCCAAAAGTGTTCACCGAAGATAGGTGGGCCCTGCCAAGTTGGTCAGAATAGAGGAGGAGGGCTGCTTCCAGCAAACTATGTGTTTGGAGGAGAGGCCGTTTAACGAGTCATCTTATCTAAGTGAGAGCAGAGGCAAAAAATTCTCTCCTGGGGGCCCTTGCTTTATCTTGTCCTACCCAGGTGAATCTTTCCCACAGGCAGGCTTGGATAGTGCTAACTGGAAAGGGCTGTTTTCCCCCGCCCCGAGTCGTTTCATCTTTCTATGGTGGTCCAGAGATCATAATGAAGAAGAGCCTAACTGGGAAGTGCTGAATTTATAAATGGGATAAAAGAAAGAATCCCTTCAGTCTTGTTTGACAGACGTGAGGCTTTGGGCTTAGTATCTGTTGAGCCCAGGGTTGTGCTCAAGTATTTTCTAACCCCTTTTCTGCCCATAGGAAACACTGCTAGTTCTTTTCTTCCTTTATTTCTGCCCCCTAGAAATTACTAAAGGCATTGAGAGAAGCATTTGTCAGAGGCAGAGTACTAGTTAAGTACCTATTTATTTACAATGCACTTAAGCACTCTGTAACTTATACTTTACCAGGATTTTGGTTGAGTTTACATGCAATTTAAATGTGTAACTAACTGCCCAAATGCAAGGTAACTGTAAATACACACACTGGTCATACATTTTGGGTTATGTTGAATACCCCGCTCCTTCTATGATGGTGCATTTGGTTTGTTGTTACAGGAATCTGTCTTTCAGAGTTAAGTCAAAAATTAGCCATTTGCACTGAACTTACTTAGGCTGTTGCACCTTTCCAAAGTTAGCCAGTTGTTTGGAGGCACTCTTATGCATACTTCTTGTTGAGCATTTTCAGTTTAATGCTATAAAAGCTCTTTCGTAATGTGTTGGCTTTCAGAGCAACTGTAGACAAACTAGTTGTTATAATTATAGATGTCTCGGTACTTTATAGACACTTAGCTGAAAGAGGTTTGGTTTTTTTCGTTCTTGAAATTTATATTTTTATAATTTTGGGATTTTTGAAACTTATTTTGCAATGGCTTGGTGTTTGAGCAGGTTTATGCATTGTTTTTGTAAATATGGAAATGTAGCAATAATGTCCTTTTGACTATCCTCAGTCCTCGAGTCTCAAAAATATTTTTTTATATATATATATATGCAAAAACTTTATGTATAAATATGTAAGTGTTTGAAAGTTTATGAAACACTTATGGATATGTTGCTCAGTTGTAGAATTGCAGTTCAGAAAAGTTCAAATAAATCTGTAAATATGTATTCAAATGCTACCAATGTGTACTATGTTAAGATGGAATATTTTCATGTAAGTCTCAATAAATTGGGTCGAAGTAAAATCTTGGTGTCTGGCCACACAGAGGTCAAGTTCGGCATTCTGAACCATTTTTGCAAATGTGTGCCAGAAAACCGTAATGTTTATTTGTTATGAAGGTTCTTTACCTGTGAATATATGGGACAAATAATTGGAAACTTGGATGCAGATTTATTCTGGAAAAAAACCACAACTAGAAGATTCGTCCTGTAGACTGTTGATGCAGTCTATATGACAGTATTTAAAACCGAACAAAAATATCTCCGTGTTATTAAGGGTACGGTTGCAGAGGCAGTTGGAGCCACTCAAAGGCTGCGGTGATGCTGAATATTCCCCCTTCGCTCAAACACATGTACATGCACATGCTCTTGTCCCCTCCTGCACGCTGGCACTAGAGCGCGTGCTGGACTGGCCGAATGCAATGCCACAGGGGATGCAGCATGAGATACCTAGCGCTGCTTGGGTGGGTGGGGGGCATAAAGAGAAAACTTAATGCTTCCCTTGCTGAGCAGGTACCCTGCATCTTTGTGGGAGACCCTCTGCTCTAATTACTCCAGGTTTGAAATCTGTGACTCACCTGCTCACACTTGGTCCTCTGCTGCATAAGGGTTTGCATCAGCATGGTTGGTGCATGGTTTAATAGTAGGTACAGAGCATAAGCAAAAGTTTATAGAACTATCCTACCAAAACCGCCTACTAACTCATATGAGAAACAGACCTCGACTGTTTTGGTCCATAAACATTTCTGTTCTGTCAACAGACCTCGCCTCCTTCAGATCTTCCTTTTTAAAACAGGTTTTTTTTTTTTTCTTTTTTGCTTCCACCCAGGTCTTGGCTCTGTTTGTTAAAACTAATTAAGAAAATTAAAAACTAATTTTGTCAGGAGCCAGGAGGTGCAGGCTTTGCCACAACTAGCATTGTCATAATTTTCTAATAGTGCTTCAAAAGATACCAAGATCATGGCTGATTTTGAACAATTTTTATCTCCTGTCTTGTCTATGCCCCCATTCAAGCAAAGTAGACTTCATACTGAGGCATCCCAGTAGCTGAACTGCTACAAATAATTTGTGAATTCTCAATTAGCACAGCCAAAGGAGGTATTTTACATATTTATTCGGTTAGCACATCATTAATTTTATTTTCCTGAAATATTTCCCCTTCTGAAGCAACCTAGAATACAGCATCTCTGCTTTCTGAAAAAATCTTTCTCCTATTTCCTTATTACAAGGCTTGCAATGATTACCGCCTCCATTCCTGTTCATGGTCACGAGGACCATTTCCCCCTGAATTACTTTCTTGTGCCAGTTCTAAGCAATACCTTACATAGAAAAGCACATCAGGAAGGCATTTAATATGTATTTTATCTGTCCTTCAAAGCATTATTGTACCCAGATACAAAGGGAAACTAGTACCGTGTTACCAGCATGGACTGTCAGGACCATGGACCATCATAGACCAAATATCTGAAGGGAGGGTGCAAAAAGAACAGAGCCAGGCTACTTCTGGTGGTGCCCAGTGACAGGACCAGAGGCAGTGGGCACAAACTGAAACACAGAAGGTTCCCTCTGAACATCAGGAAACACTTTTTTTTATTGTGAGGGTGACCGAGCACTGGCACAGGTTGCGCAGGGGGGTTGTGGAGTCTCCATCCTTGAAGGTACTCAAAAACCATCTGGATGTGTTCCTGGACAATTGGCTTTAGGTGGCCCTGCTTGAGCAGGGGGGTTGAACCAGATGACCTCAAGGTGGCTTCCATCCTCAACCCTTCTGTGATTCTGCAATCAGCAAGGGCATTTTGGAGAATCTCAGCTGTAACATTCACTTGGCTAGAAGTAGAAAGGAAAATCCCACCCTTGTACTGAACACTACAGAATGATTCTTCCTCTCTTTACTAGCTAGAGAAGAAAATTCTTGGAGGCTCTGTGGGAGACAAGAAGAAAGATTGTGGACACATATGTATACTGATACATGGTGTCAGTGACGAGAATAACATGCATCACCACCACCAGATTTTTTTGTTTCTGGTTCTCCTTCACGTCTGTACGTCATATAGGTCTTGGGGAGGTTGTCTGTAAATGGAGACACGATGCACCTGGCCAAGTCACCAGGGAACAACCAGCCATACCCTGGACTGAAATGTTCAGCGTGATCACTGGAGAGGTTGGACAACAGCATCCTTAATTCTACTGCGTTGTAGGCTGAAACCGAGAGAGTGAAACATTTCCCTCTTCCTGTACATGGATTAGGAAACTTCCTTCTTGTCCTGTGGGGAGGTCTGAGTCTCAACAGAGGATAAGGAGCAGCTGCATAGACTTTTTAGCCCCTGGTTTAGAACCGAAGCTATAACAAAAATATGAAAAGTTACTCTGCAGTTCCATTGTGGTTTCCAGAAACTTCTGTAACTATGAATAATGGTTACATACAACCTTCCATTGCCATGTTTCTTGAGCATTAATTTCTTAAAAGATTATGCTATAACTAGTAAGTTTATGCCCCAAAATTGCTGTAAGGCTATGTTTTCTGAAAGATTGTCCATATTTCATAAATTGATTATTGGTCACTCTTTTTGGTGAGAACTATTGTCTGTCAGCTGCCAATCAGGCAGCAGAGATTATTTACTAGCAGTGATAGCTCCAGTGACTTGATTTGTCTGTCCCTGCCCTGGAAATCATGTTAGCTAGGTTGTGATAGGCAGTAGAAACCATCTGACCCCGAAGGGCTCGCTGGGCTTTGGGCCTGCGCTCCTCACTAAGCAAAGTCAGCAGCATCAGATAAGGGGTTCGCGTGGCAGGTTGAACGCTATCCAACCATCTGGTTGCCACGCGGGAAGACACAGTGTGTAGCTTCCCTTATAGATCAGTACACATCAGTGTGTAGTGCAAGTTACCCCCCATACTTTCTCTAGCTGCAGAAACTGCAAAATAATCTTTGGCTTCCCGCAAATATGTATATTTTGAGAAGTACCAGCACCAGTGGCTGGTTGCACTTCTGTGAATTTTACTGCACGTGCTTTTGGCTGGTCTAAGTATCATTACTGGGCATGGGGCCTTGGTCTTAATATGTGGCTGGGTGGCGGGGGTGTTGGTGTGGTCATCAAAAAAAAAGTTGGCTTAGTGGCACATCTGAGCACTCACTTTTGGTGACTGAAATAACATGTCATGTTTGGCTTGCCTGCTCAGGGTGGCAGGAGGGCTGCTGAGCAGGGCAGCCGACTCGGGCCTAGCTGCCTGGTGGGCTGGG